ATCCATAATAATAATAATAATAATAATAATAATAATAATAATAAAAACTTGTAATTAAATTCTTTCAAGCGATTACACAACAAAAAAAAAGAAAAACTTTGCCAAAATTATTTTTAATTAATATAAATTTCGTGAATGGAGAGAAAGAGAGAGAAAAAAAAGACACGATATTAAAAAAGGAATCCATCGATTTTGTCACTCGACATTATTAAATCGATAATAATAATAATACTAATAATAATAATAAAACACGAGTTCAATTACTTACTTAACGACAGAAGTAATTTGGTACGTGTAAAAAAACCCCCTTTGAGAGAGAGAGAGAGTTTTTAATAACGTAATGAACATCAAATTATTTATTTATTTATTGACAAATAATAATAATAATAAATTACCTAATTTGAATTTATTTTATATTTGCGTGCGACTGAACAAAAAAAGTAGCAGAGTTGAGGAGGTTAAGCGAAGGGGAGAGAAAGGGAGAGAGAGACAGAGAGAGAGGGGGAAGGGGTTCAAATGGAGCCTTATTAATAAAATTTACATTTAAATTATTAAAAAAAAACAAAACAAAAAATGCTCAAGTTAAACGAACCGAAAGAAGGAAAAACAAAAAATTTCATGAAAAAAAAAAAAAAAATTAAATTTTCGAGCAAATCTCACGAGAGTAACAAAAAAAAATTAATTCTTTCACTATTTAAATAATAATAATGATGATTATTACGTTAACGAAATAGAATACGAAAGAAAATTTTGAAAAAAAAAAAAAAAAAAATTCTGACAGATTTTTCGTTGTAGTACAATTTTAATTTCATTTTCATTGTTGTACCTTTAAAAAAAAAAAAAAAGCCTCAATGTCGTTCGTACCTATTTGAGCGTGAAAATTATTTGAATTAAACATGCAAATAGAATTTTAACAGTTTCCGGTTTAGAGAAAAAAAGAGAAAAAAATACAAGATCGCATGTTAAAATTTTTGAAGGAGCTCAACACGAAAATAATTGACTGCGAAAAAAAAGAGAGCAAATTTTTAACGTAATTAATTTAAAAAAAAAAAAAAAAATGAAAATGTTTCACACAACGATATGTAAAAATTAAAATACGTTTGTACAAATGCGACAACAAACAAACAAACAAACAATCGTTTGATATTTTTTTTTTTTTGAAAATTTACCTCGAAAAATCAATTTTCCCCATTTCGTGTCTGTGATTAAATTAAATTAAATTTTTTTTTTGTTTTGTTTTGTTTGTTTGTTTGTTCTTATATATATATATATATATATATATATATATAATTTTTTTTTTCATTTGTCAAATTATTAAAGTAATGAATGAATGAATGAATGAATGAATAATAAAATGAAAATGTTTAATGATCCACAATTGAAAATCTACCTGTTATATTCGGTTCGTTCTTTATTTTTGTAAGTAATGAACAAGCACTTAAAACTATCACAAAACTAATATTAATAAACAAGAACTTATTACAGCTAGACTAAAAATCAAATGAACCAACGCCAAGCTGTGTAGCTTCCCTATATTACTTTGGTCTTTCGCCAGTCAACTGTTTCGAACGTTTAACAATGGAAACGAGCAAACACTTGCAACTAAAATAAAAGAAATAGTTTCTAGAAGCTTCGCTTCTAAAGAAGAACAATTTGAGTTCGTCGCCAGTCTTTTGTTTATAAAAATTTGAAAATGTGAATATTGAGTACGGGATCATAACACCTCCCCCCTTAAGACGGAAAACAATTATTTTGAAAAAAGAATTTGTTTTCTCCTCTTGTTCGGATTTGACAGTTTCCTATGTCGGGTTCTGAATGGTTCCGTCCAGGTTGAGACTCCTTGAGTAGTAGTAGGTGCTATGTCTTCTGTATGGTAGACTGTTGTATCTCTTCACATTGGCTTCTTATCAGGAACATAATTTTAAGCTTTATAGCTGCAAGTAGTAGAACCTTTCCTAGGCAATACTCGTTAGTGAACAATGTTTCATAAAGAGTAAAGATAAAAGAATAAAATCATGAGACATGAATTCGAAACAAAATTGACATAAGTTCTGAAAAATACAAGAATTTTATATAGGGTACATAGAAAAGAATAAATGGATTAATAATAAAATAAATGATGATTAGCTATATGGGAAAATAAAAGGATTAAATTATTATTATTTTGGATTTCTCTCTCTTTAGATCAACTACTCAGAACACGGTTTTGTGATAAGTAACTTCCTTGTTACGGGTTTTTAATAAAACGTTTTTGCCAGATTTTTTCTTGACCTCGTATGGACCCTTAAATTTAGGACTAAGTTTTTCATTGACTCTTATTTTATTTTTAATTGGATTTGTTCTTGCTAATTTTTGACTGGTTTGAATCTTCTCTTTTTCATTAGACGATAGATGAACTTTACTTAGTAAAAATAGCTTTACCTCAGGAATAGCCTTTTCGTGAAAATCGGTTGACATAAGAATGGATGCTTTCTTCCTAGATTTCTTGGTACTGGAATTCCATTTCCGCTTTTTAGTATGCTTCCCAAAATTATGCTTGTGAATTTTTTTAGTAGCTCCTATATTTTTATTTGAAATTTTTGTTTTCTTTTGAATTTTAGCCTTAGGATTATTTTTAAGGTTTGAATTCTGTATGGATGATCTTTCTTTTCCTTTTGTTTTCACTTCTTTTACTTTTAGACCTTTTTTCTTATTTTTATTTTTAGGAAGTAATGGTGCTTCTTTAGCCTTTTTCTTAGATAAATTTGTAGAGGGTGCTTCTTTAGCCTTTTTCTTAGATAAATTTGTAGAGGGTGCTTTTTCCTCTTGAGCAGGAATTGATCCTGGTAAAGAATCTGTTTTCTCTTCAACTTCAAGTTTGGATTCTGGTAAAGGATCTGTTTTCTCTTTAACTTCAAGTTTGGATTCTGTAACTTCTAAAATTTTAAGTTTTTCCTTCAATTTTATTGTGTTATCTTCATAGTGGATACATGCTGATTCTTGTCTGCTATTAGTCAATTCTTCTATTAGTTGACTATGGGGTTTCTTGTCTTGGTATAATTCTATTAGTTTTGTTTTTACATCATCCCAATTATCAAAATCGTACAAAGAAATTCGAATCCTGGCTTTACCAGTGATTCTGGAGTAGATGAATCTAAAGAGTGGATACTTATTCTCTTCAGAGGACAATTTAATAGCATTATCACAATCAGAGATAAATGCATCAATTTGGTTCCTTTCTCCGGAAAAGAAATTAGGAACTAGACTACACAAGAAATTAAGGGACATTTGGGATGGGTTGAAAACAGGTTGATCAAGTTTAGGCATTGTTCACGAAATGAGTTACCTATTTCTACTTACTTACAATATAAAGAAATTCTGATAAAGAGTTAAAACCCACCAACATGAAACGAATTACTTAATAATTCTCCGGTTTCTTGTCGTTCAGAATGATCCTTCATCGACTGCGCCAAAATTTTAATATGTTATATTCGGTTCGTTCTTTATTTTTGTAAGTAATGAACAAGCACTTAAAACTATCACAAAACTAATATTAATAAACAAGAACTTATTACAGCTAGACTAAAAATCAAATGAACCAACGCCAAGCTGTGTAGCTTCCCTATATTACTTTGGTCTTTCGCCAGTCAACTGTTTCGAACGTTTAACAATGGAAACGAGCAAACACTTGCAACTAAAATAAAAGAAATAGTTTCTAGAAGCTTCGCTTCTAAAGAAAAACAATTTGAGTTCGTTGCCAGCCTTTTGTTTATAAAAATTTGAAAATGTGAATATTGAGTACGGGATCATAACAATATATATAATTTTTTTTTTCATTTGTCAAATTATTAAAGTAATGAATGAATGAATGAATGAATGAATGAATGAATGAATAATAAAATGAAAATGTTTAATGATCCACAATTGAAAATCTACTTAAGATTATATTCAAATAGATTTTATTATTATTATTATTTTCAAATTAAAAAATATATGAAGCAAAATCAAATTAAAAAAAAAAAAAAAAAAAAAAAAAGAAAAGTGGTTTATTGTGTGATGAATGTTATACAAAACAATGGAAACGAATAAAATAAATAAAAATATCAATTCTAATTGTTATGTTCATTATCGAGTAAGTTTGCCATGTTTTCATTTTCTAAATTAAATGACAAATTTTATTTGTTTTTTAAATTAAATTTCAAATATTTTCTGCATAATTACAATGTTATCAAAAAAACAAATAGTGTTTGCTACAAATCAATTATTATTCGAATAATAAAACAATTGTTAATCAGTATATATTACTCACTATGATAGGTTTTTTTTTAAAATGTCGAATGTATCAATTCGAATTGTTTCTAATAATAGCTGAAAATTATTTTAGGCATTGATTCTTACACTTGTTTCAAATAATAATGATTAAAAACAATCAATCAAACAGATGATACTTTAATCAAACAAAATCCTTTCAAAGAGTTTTAATTTGTATGTTTTCTTCCTGTTAATTATTAAACAGAAGTTAAACATTCACCTTGTTCGAATTATACAAGCTGTTGCTTTAATGCCTTAAAAAAAATTAAATGCAGAGGAAAATTGATACTATAAAGGAATTAAAAGTCAATTGTAATCTAATGGAGATTGAAGTAAAAAAAAAAATCTCATTCAAAACTACTTTAACAAATGGCACTAGCTAAATTTCAAATAAAAAAGAGTAAAAAAAAAAAAAAGCAACAACAAAATTCATTGATTTTAATTTATTCAGATGGGAATTAAATTGAAGGTCTATTATGTAAATCTGAGAGAGTTATGTATATTTTTGTAATCAAACAAGACCATTAAAAAAAAAATTTTTATTTTTTTTCTCTCTCTCGATTAAAATGTTGTTTATTTAATTCAAATTTTTTTTTGTAATAACAGCATAAATATTAAGTAATGAAGGTTTTATTACATTTTGTTAGTGGTATTAATTTGAATTATATCTGATTAGTTTAAATTTTAAATATTAAATAAAAATATTTACCTGATTGTGATTCCTTTGCATTTCTCAGTAAAAAAAATATTATATTGAAATTTCATTGATTTACAATGAAATAAGTAAATGAGTAATAATGAGTTCAGCATGAAATTCATGCTGACTATATTTATTGAATTATCTAAACGGCTAAAACCTCAAGGATAAAAATTTGAAATATCATTATTGTATCATTTTTTTTTTAAAAACGAAATAATTAAAAAACGGATTACAATAAAAAAGCTTTTTCTTTTTTTTTTCTATATAGACAACAGTTAATTCACCGCTAACGATCGAATATGATGCCTTAAATGAAATAAAATAAATTTATTATTTCTTCCTAACGATTATTTGATCCAAACTAATTTATCGATGATTTGAAAAAGTATATTTTTTAATTCCAAATCCGTTAATTAAATTACTATTAAATCGACTAACAAAAGAGCAACACAATTAGAAATTCCGGAACAATTCAAAACCACCGTATTCCATATGTGATGTGAAAATAAACTCCAAAGGGAACGCGTAAACAATGGTGCCAACATAAAATTTATAAATGCTAAACATGGCCACCTTATGGAAATATTTGTCCAACCGTTTTTTCAAAAAACTTTTTAACGTATAAATCACAATAATTGAACATTTTATAATTACGACTAAATAAAAATCTTGTCATGTTTTTAAAAATATAAAAAAAATTATTTTATTTCTAAACTTTTCTATTAATACACATTTTTATATAAAAAAAAATTTAAACTTCATTTTTCAATTTGCGTACTTAATTATATTTCTACGTTGAACAATGTTTGTGAATATAAATTTAAAAAAATCATTTATTCAGCTCGTAAGCTAAGTAATCCGTTTACTAAATCAACTTCTTTTGTTAAAAATAGTTAATAAAAAATCCGACAGATGGCACGCTCGTCAAAAAATTTTATTTTATTTGAATTTTATATGTAATGTGAATTTACATTATATTTCGTATATAAACAAAAATTTTTTAAAATTATTTTTTCCTATCAACAAATAAACATTATTTAAATTTAATTTATTTTAATTAAAAGTTGCAAACTAATTATTTTTTAATAAAATAAATTATTTTATTCATTACCCCTTAAATTATTTACAATTTTATATTTTTTTACGACAATCCATGAAAATATATGATATTAAATTAATTAAATATAAAATTAACAATCTGTCGGGTTTTTTTTTTGAGTTGATGAAACATTTTTAAAAATATAACATAATTAATATTTTTCGAATATTTTCCTAAATATTTTATTCACGATTTTCACAAAAAAAAAAAAATCTCAACTACAAAAATTTATTTAAAAAAAAAAAAAAAAACAGCTTCGGGTTTTAATTTCGTTCGACATATTTAGTTGATCACATTGACGTCAATATTTATTATCGATTGTATATTATTTGATTGATGTTACAAGTAACATTTTATTTAACAATGAATCATTTTATAAATTTAGGGCTTTTAATTTTTTAAATCAGGTTTAAAATAACCGTAATGAAATTTCACAACCTTGCCAAAAAAAAAAAAATTGAAATTTTGGGGGGAATTGTTACAATTTTTTTTTTTTTTTTTTGATTGTTTTTCCAGTCGAACGTATTAAGAATTCGAAATTAAATTAAAATTTAAAAAAAAAAAATTTCGAAATAATAGAAATATTCCAAAATTGAAAGAAATTATTATCCGGAATAAGATGGAAAAAAAAAAGTATTTACAAAAATCAATGAGATCCAGATGAAGATAGGCAAACATAAAAAAAAATAATAAAAAAAAGGGGGCGGAGCCTCCCCATTTTGATAAAGGGAGGAGCTTAAATCCCTTCCTACGTAAAGGATACGTGATTTTATTTAAATTTATTATTTCACAACAAATAAACAACGTATAAATATTGTTTTTTGCATAAGCTGAACAAATGAAATGCAATTATGTAAGGTAAAAAATTTTTTTCTCTTCTCTTTCCTTCCTTTTTTCTCTTTCTTTCTCTCTTTCTTTCTTTCTTTTTAAAAAAAAAAAAATTTTTTTTGTTTTTTTTTCCATTATAAAAAAGTTACAATTTCTTATAAGTTAAACGTGAGTTACACAAATCAATATATAATTATTATT